CCTTCCCTCTAGTCTTACACTGCTAAATTAGGGACGGCTAGCGCAGATAGTCCTCGTGTAGGTTTGCGCGAAATTTAAAAACAAACAAACTCATTAGATGACGAGGATGTTTTTGTTTTTCTTAGAGTCATTAGTTGTAGGCTTGAAAATATAATCTTTGAATTTGATTCAACTTGTTTTTGTAATTTTTTGATTATCTTGTACAAGTAGCGTCTCTGCCATTACTGGGTCTGTTGTCTTCAATGCAGCCTGATGATTTTTGGTATTGGCGAAAATCCTCGTCGGCACTGATATAGCAGATGTAGTGTGTTTGACGTATTGTTATACATTTTTCTTTACTTACACTCATATATTCTTAGAACATAAGTTCGCATTGGGTAATACAACCCATGCCAAGACCAGCCATTCCAACTCTGAGTTTATTTGTTTCCTATACAGATACAGGTAACTTAGAAATAAAAATATTATAGCCAGTGAGATAGATTTTAAATCGCAACTTATTTTACATTGTAAAGTTTCAATACAGGTTCGACAGAAGCATTCACTCCTTATGTTAAATAGGCAGGTTATCATTAAGATTAACAATCACTGATTACGAGTTTTTAGACAAAAGTATTCAGTCCTTCCGTTAAATAGGCAGGTTATCATTAAGATTAACAATCACCAATTACGAGTTTTTAGACAAAAGTATTCAGTCCTTCCGTTAAATAGGCAGGTTATCATTAAGATTAACAATCACCAATTACGAGTTTTTAGACAAAAGTATTCAGTCCTTCCGTTAAATAGACAGGTTATCATTAAGATTAAGAATCACCAATTACGAGTTTTTAGACAAAAGTATTCAGTCCTTCCGTTAAATAGGCAGGTTATAATTAAGATTAAGAATCACCAATTACGAATTTTTTGACAAAAGTATTCAGTCCTTCCGTTAAATAGACAGGTTATCATTAAGATTAAGAACCACCAATTATGAGAATGCAAAAAAAAAAAGACATATCGGTTTTTAAAATTATTTTCTTATATTTATTCCCCAAAAAACTTACCTACAAATGTCAACCCTGATGACTTGCCTCAAGCGAGAATCACGTTCTGCTACATTAACAATATATTTCCACTCTGACTTGTCGCTGAGGGCTGCTTTAGGTGAGATGAACGTGGATCTGATTGCACAAACGGGTTCTTCATCTTCTGCTCTTCGTACAAGTCCTCTGCAAAAAAGAACCATTAAAATAAGGATGAAAAACATAAGAGATCCTGTCTCATAGAAGCGTTTAAAATTAAAGTGAAAAAAAGAACAGTTTTGAAAAAATAAAAAGTAAACACTAGTGTTTTTTGTCAAGAATACTGTAAGCGTTATATCCGGCAATGATACTGTTTGTCAAGAATACTGTAAGCTTTATATCCGCCAATGATGTTGTTTGTCAAGAATACTGTAAGCATTACATCCACCAATGATGTTGTTTGTCAAAAATACTGTAAGCATTACATCCACCAATGATGTTGTTTATCAAGAATACTGTTAGCATTACATCCACCAATGATGTTGTTTGTCAAGAATACTGTTAGCATTATATCCGTCAATGACTATTTAAGATTGAAGGAAACAAGTAAAATGTTCCTGTTCTAATCTGTACAAGGATCTTCTCTGATGAACTTTGTACTAACAATCCTTGCTTCAAGTAAAATGTTCCTGTTCTAATCTGTACAAGGATCTTCTCTGATGAACTTTGTACTAACAATCCTTGCTTCAAGTAAAATGTTCCT